ATAATTTTTCACATCTATACAATAGGCGTACATTTTGAATTAACATTGAAACTTTTTGTTTATTTTGTATCCTCAATCTGGTTCAAATGCAGAAATAGTAAGAGGTGATACAAATGCATCCAAAAGAAAGACTCAAGTATGGAGGAAAAAATCACGGAATGGATAAAAGTAACCTTAAAAAATTGAGCGAGAAAGCAAACTATTTACAATACGGGAAGATTTCGGAGGCTAGTAACATGTAATATGATCAAGGAATGGTGGCACACTCGGTGGTGTAATCAAAATAGCGCACAGACTCAACAAAAAAACGTTGATCGTAGATATGATTAATGCTGGAAATCACGAATACTATTGCAGAAGGCTACTATTAACTGCGTACGTTCCACAACATCTCCCCGAGGCTCTGACCAAGTTGCGAAAACAGGGTCGAACCAATATAAAAACCAATAGTTTAAATTTACAGCTAATTATAGGATGTAAGAAATGGAGCATTAAAAAGAACACTCAAACTGGAGACTTGTTAAAATAAAAATATTATCAAGTGAGAATCAAAATAGGTTATATGTGAAGGGTACTCTAGCTGCCAACAATTAATGCAAAATTAAGAAATAAGAATAATGTGGCTTCGTTAACAAAGGAACTGTCGTCTTCAATTTGCACTTTCGCTTGACACGACAATGGCAGCTTCAGGATCTACCAAAAGGCTGGTTTCATCGAGATATCGGAACATAGATTTCAGATTCTCATGTTCAGCCATATCAACCAGTCTTCCATTGCCAGCTTTGTTAGGTATCCGCCTGGACGTGACAAGATCGAGTGGAGAATCGAATACCTCTATAAGGCTGCGCTTTGGAATCAAACGAGCAGGCGGTGATTGAGAAGTAGTGTTGAAGTTGGGCCGATCTAGCAAGTCTAGTTTAAAAGTCTTCGAATTGAATGGACGAGAAGTGTTATGACTGGCTGTGGTACTCGCAACTTGGAATCGAGAATCAGCCGGTTTGGAGTCCCCAATGGTGGATTTTTTTGAAAAGAGAGGGAAGTTATCACTTGATTTAGGACCAGACCGAGTCACCGGGGTGCAAGCGAGAGCAGTGAGGGCAGGCAGGCGATCTAGCAGGGCAGAAATATCAGTAGGTTGGCTACAGAAGAATCCAATTGCACAACTGGGATCAAGGCGTCGGGCCCTCATGGTTCGAAGCGTAGAGCAGTGCCACGTCTCAATGTACAAGAAGATTATTATCAAAAGACAAGGTGAATTAAAGATGATGAAGATTTATCCCTCCCTAAGCATTAGCATTGATAGATAAATCTCAAGAAAGATAAAAAAGGGCTTTTAAGTCAAAACTAATGCTTCAAAAATGATGAAACAAAAACTAGAGCTTACATGTTTTAACTCCATCTATGGCCAAACATAAATGTCTGCAAGTTAAAAAATTTTTCGATTCTAAAAGACTAAAGATAAAGCTAATCTGACTATTTTGGCAATGGTAAGCTCCCTAAAAACTGATACCTATACCTTAACATAGACCTCAAGTTAGTTTATTTCTTGTGAATGAGATAGAATAGAGGTGACTATGGACCTAGCTGGCCCTTTCAGGGGATATTTGATGTAATAAGAAATGAAGCAAATAATGCAGTCAGCACTCGATTTGGAGATTTCATTAACGCAATATATTCGAAAATCGAAGATGAGAAAATGAATGAGTAGCCAATTCTATATAAAGATAAATGAGATGTAAGAGTGCTCTTAATTTAATAAAAAGCCGCTAGTCCGAACTTGGTCTCTGCCAAGAGGAATCTGATGTATTGGTAAGAAACCCTATTTTCGTATGCTGCTACAGGTTTTGATAGCCATTCTGCCTATGAGGAATAGCAAGCTTAGCTATGCTGTCAAATTAGTTAAGCCAAAAAAGACAATCAAGAAGGCTCATTCAAGCTGGGGCGAAGTCTCGATCTTGCTTCATGCGCCCAGCACTACACGAAGAATAAATCTGATAGAAGTGGGTTGACTTCGTTGTCGCAACTTGGTCTTG